GATTGGAAGAAACCTATCGCTGCCTTAATGGTCTCTAAAAGACCCCCAGTTGCAGTTCACCAGCCCCTTCTTTGCACGGAAGGAAGTTCTTGCTCTCTTGGGGTTTACTTCCCGAGCATGCAAGTGTCTCCAGTAGCAGAACCGGGGGCTTCCCGTTGCATTTTTTTCTGTCTGCAAATCCCTTCTTCCAGCCTGAGCGAGCTGCGAGAGCTCTCAATTCAGTCTCTCTGCTGCCGTTCAAGCTTTCTTTCCCAAGGCTCTGACCTAGAAACTGACCTGGAGCATTGCAGTTTGTGCAGTCTCATGTCAACGCTCAAACAGTAGCAGGTCGGCGATTAAAATAAATAGCAGCAAGATGGTTTGGAGGAAGGCTTGCTTGCTGCCCAGGCCCTTAGCAGACCTATTGCAACGGGCCGCTGAGCGTTTCTCATTACGGGAAACTCTCTTGTCACTGCCCTGAGTCCTCCCAGGCCTATGTGCAGGGACTCCCGTACTAATGCAGGTGGCACTCTCACTGCCCGGGCTCATGTGTGCATGCATGTGTGTGTGTGCGTGTCCTCGTGAAGCTTTTTTTAAACCAGGATACAGCCCCAGGAGGACTGCAGCTCCCAACCATCTCTGCCCTTGCACTGCCAGCCTGCTTCCAAGTTGTCCCCTTCATAAGATTTCTCCTTGGCATCAGGACTTCCTCTTGGCCTCGTTTTTTGCAAAGCCTGGCAGCGCCGTTCCAGGAGCCGAGCGGCGATGCCAAACTGAGGCCCCAAAGGCCTGACCTGAAAACCGGAGCGATGGGGGGTGTTTGCGGGGCAGGGCACAGGCTTGTGTTTTGTGAGCAGATGATCCCCATCTTCCCCCGTGCCAACGAGCAAGCCGGCGGTAGGGGTTGGTTCCCTTCAGACTCCGATTCTCAGCACTCTGCTGCCCATTGAACAATGCTTTTCAGTTGTTGAAATTCTGGTTTGTTCTTTTCCTTCCTTTTTTTTGTTCCTTTTCTGTTAATTAACTTCCGTTTGAATTAACGTGTCTTGTTCTGTTTCCATGACAACTCCGTGTTTGCATCCCACCTTGCCGTTGTTTGTTGCTGTTGATGCTGTTTGCTGACCGGATCTTGTCCGTCAGTGTATGTCTCCCCATTTCTCCTCGCCTCCCCCTGCCCCACCTCCCCCAGGAAGTTACGTATCAGCCCCCTCCTCAGGAGACTCATCCCACCCCAGATCTGTCTGCATGTGACCCCACTTGTTTCTTTTCAAGTTCTCTCCATCTTGTCTCAGATGTGACTAGCGCAGTCTTCACGTGGCTCCATTTTCTGAAACGCTGCCGGCGTCGGGGGAATGGCTGGGCTCCGGCTCCCATCAAAGCTGAGAAACCCGGCCGCAGCGGAAAGAAGGATGGGACCAGTAGCCGGGGCACATCCTGCAGGGCCCAGCGCCGCCCTTGCACACGTGGCCGTGTCAGCCCCATGGGAGACTCCTGCCAGTGTACCCCAGCCAGAGACCTCCTGTCCCATCTGCCCCCAGCCACTGCTGGCACACTCGCTTCTCCTCGACCCTGGCCCAGCTGGGAAGAGGCCTTGCCTCTCCTCTTCAAAGTCATGGTGGTCAACGTGGCTGTGTCTTGGCCAACTTTCCTAGCCAGAACCAGGGTCCAGTAGGGCTTATACACTCCCACCATCTCTCTGTGTCTAGGTAGGGATCCATCTCCAAGCACCAGTGTCTAAGTAAGGTTATGCCTCCTGTGCCGTGTCCCTTTCTCTATGACATCAAGGTAGGGAGATGCATCCCCCACCCTTGTACCCAGGATCTCCCCTACGTCAAGTCCCCTGAGGCTTTCTGCCCCCACGCTAAGGGCTGGTCCATGGGTGCTGCTTGAGGTGGAGATGCCGGCGTATGGGTTTGCAGGGGAAGGCAGAAGCTGCTTTTCCCATTGAATCCCATCACAGGGGAGCAGTTTCTGACCTTTCAGTTTTGAAGGGAGCTGGGTAAAGGGCGACTGTCATTAGCCGATGGCAGTGGCACTGGGGAGGGAGCCCAGCAAGAGGTTTCCGATGGTTATTATGGTGTGGGCTGAGACTGAGCAGCTGCTCAGCAGAGGTTCTCACTAAGTGCGTCTACACATGCGCAGTAACCAAAACTACTGCACAGTACGGTCACGTGTCTACGGGCACACACCTGTACTGCACAGTCAATATGGCAGCTGACTTGAGCGTAAATTTGAGACCTGCATCATGCAGGTATCAAATTTATGCCCAATTAGTTACTGCGCAGTAACGCACGTGTAGATGTTCCTGCCCAGGGCAGGGGGTCAGGCTTGATGATCTGTTCAGGTCTCTTCTGACCCAAAAACTGTGAAACTACTGCCCAGTAACACTGTGTGTGTGGACTGACTTGGGACTAACTTTAGTCTCAAGTCAGTCCACACAACGTTAATGCACTTTAACGCCTGCACGTGTAGATGGCCTATTCCCGGTTACTGCGGAGTAACTGACCGTGCAGTAAATTTAAGCCAGCGTAAATGCACGTGTAGACACTCCCACTGTCTCTCTTGTAGGGTGCAACAGCCTGGTCCAAATTCTGTTCCTAAATCATAGAGTCATAGGGAAGTTGGCCTGGAAGGGACCTCTATAGGTCATCTAGTCCAACTCCGTGCCTGAGGCAGGATCATCCCTATCCAAACCATCCTAGAGAAATCCATTATCCAACCTCTTAGCAAAACTACAGTCAGTCTTTCCTCCCAGCCCCATGCAACCAGCCAAGCCCAGAAATATGGGAACTAGCCATAGTATAGTAAAGGAATAGGAGGGGTGTTAGACACCCCTAACAAATGAACGCTTAGGAGTATGAAGCAGGTGGGTGCATGCTACCTGCATGGATGGCAGTACTGCAAACATGGAGAGGAAGGCTCTCCAGTCAGACTGGGACCTGGCTGTGCTCCCCACTGCCAGTGCAGGAAGGTGGTAGTTCACTGAAACCTTGTCCATCCTCCCCAGGGCAGGGCAGGCCGTGGTTTTGCAGTCATTCCCGTCAGAAGAGAGAGCCTTTCCCAGCAGCATCCCTGTTCTCGACACCTTGCTCGGCGTTTGAGACGCGTGGCCGTGCAGCTTCTGTGGCTGTGCTGCTCGGCACCCAGGCCGACTTCCAGCCAGATCAGGTGTGTCCATGCAAGCTGCACTTGCACCTTTGACTGCAGTGGCAGACCAACCTGCAGGCTCAGTGAAATAATGCGGGGCGCCTAGCACAGGTGGGGGCTCAGGGAGACCCGGGGATCGTGCTGGCTGTGCTGGTAACAGCCGGTGTAGATCCCTTCTAAAAGCCAGGAGCTGAGTTAGTCGCTCAGTTGGGCTTTCTCACTCGTCCCTTCTCCTTACTTGGTCCGCTAGGAAAGCCCCCGCCTCGTCCCTCCGTCCAGTCCCAGTCCCTTCAGAAAATGGAGCCACAGAAACGGCGCCCTCTCCTTTGCGTCCATGTTCTTATTGTGTAAGGTCTGGAAGCTGCATCCACCTCTCTGCTAAGGAGATGCACAGAACATGTCACTGTTTTCTCAACGTTCAAGTTTCATTACCTCGTTTTTCTTATTATTATTAATTCTATTCTATTTATTATTCCGCCAGGGCTGAGATGTGACAATGTGAGCCACCACATTGGGTCACATCAGCTAGAAAAAGTATGCAGCATTAAAGTGGGTTTCCCCCTCCCCATCCCCCTCTCTCTTTCTCTCTTTCTCTCTCCCCCTGTCCTCTTCCTCCTTGTCTTCCTCTCTCTCTTTTTCTCCACTATTCATGTGGGCATTTGCTAGCAGCCCATAAGTTATATTCCTCTGCATTTTCCTATCTCTCTGTCCCTGTCTCTCTCTCTCTCTCTCTCTCTCTCTCTCTCGCTCGCTCGCTCTCTCTTTCTCTCTCTCTTTTTTACCTATTTTGCATGATGTTTGTGACTCTGAGAGCTGCATCTATCGATGGAACCGTGTCAGATCTTAAAGAGGCTTCGTTAGGGTTTCTATACCCGAAAACCACAAAAATTTCATTAGAGTTTCTCATCTTTTCCGCTGTCGCTCCAGGGGGGGCTGCCTCCTCCTGGACGGTTCGCACACATGCACAAACACGAACTAAATTGTAGCCTGCTCTGGGGACCCCGTCTCCCCCTCTCTTTGCCGTGCAGGTGGCGTCTCTGGAGATTGGGGAAGGATCTCTTTTTCGTCTTCTGCATCTCTCCCTGAATCCTCCCCCCTCTCCAGGTCTCCACCGATTGAAGGCCTTTCCAACAAAGACAGATTCGTGGAAGCTGCTTCTTCCCCCTCCCTACCCAATTCCCCCCCACCACCACCTCCTCCTTCTCCGTTTCCCTCCACGCCTGCTGGAAATGAGAGCCCGCTGGTGTGAGAGTGGTCTTGTCCGAGGGCACCAGCCCCTTTGGAGAAGGGAGGCGCTTGCAAGGAAAACGCGGTGGTGGGGGTCGTCCCGGATTTCCGTGGGAGGAGGTGGAAGGGACGAATCGGACCCAAAAGACAAGGGGAGGAGCAGGCATTTGGGGACACGGAGCAGGGAGCTGGGGCCCCGGAAGCTGTGGAGGAGACTTTTCGATGCGCATAAAGCCAGCTCTTGTCAGTAAAGATGAGAAATTGCTAATAAATTTTTGTGTATTTATCTGTGCTGTGATGGGTCTAATCTTGATCAATGGAACCCTGTTGCTATGAAATATCGCTTTATGTCTATATTCTATATATTGTTTGTGAAGTAACATTTATTTGAAGTTTGATTTTTTTGGTTTGGTTTTTGATTTGTTTGTTTTTTTTCTATTGGTTTCATTTTGTTTTTTTAATGAAGGAAAAATATCGTAACCACAACCCCCATCTATATTTAAATTATCTTCTGCTCTTTTTTTCTTTTTCTCCCCTTTTTGTCTTTCTTTTCTTTTCTTTTTTTCTTTTCTTCTTTTTTCTTTCTTTTTTTTTTCCCCCCTTCCCGTTTCTTTTTTTTCTGTTACCTCTGTGCGTCTCATCCGCAGTTCGTCGGGTGGCCCCGCGCTTCTCCATCCTGCCCGTCAGCCATGAAATCATGCCCGGGGGCAACGTCAACATCACCTGCGTGGCAGTGGGTTCACCCATGCCCTATGTAAAATGGATGCAGGGCGCAGAGGACCTGACGCCAGAAGATGACATGCCGGTGGGCCGCAATGTCCTAGAGCTCACCGATGTCAAGGACTCGGCCAACTATACCTGCGTGGCCATGTCCAGCCTGGGAGTCATAGAGGCTGTGGCCCAGATCACGGTGAAATGTAAGAGAGCGTGAGCATGCGTGTGCGAGTGTGTGTGTAGCTTCTGTGAAGATGCACGTGTGTGCATGGTCAGACATGTGAGCATGGGGGAATGTGCATGAATGAGCATGAGACTGCAGGACCTTGCATTTGGGCATGCCTTTAGGAATACATGTGCGTGTGCACGAGATGAGAAACATGGTTGTATGACCATGCATGGGAGCGTGTGGAGGCATGGTCATGCATGTAGGCATGTGGTCACGCACGTACGTGCGCGTGAGAAGTGATGAGCATGGTGTAAGCATGTGGGGGCATGACTTCCAGGGACTGCGTGTGCAAATCTAAGCCCGTGTGAGCAAATAGTTGCGTGGGTGCATGGGCAGGAATGTGCACGCTTGTGTGTGTGTGTGCAGGCATGCGAGTGTGTTCGTGACTGTGATGTTCTAGTGCATGGGTGCCTGGGTATGCCAAGACGCAAAGAAATCCCCAATAAATGGAAAGCCAAAGGCCTCGCCCACTTCCCATTGCTGGCTTGGGGCTTTCCCTGACTTTGGAGTTGCCTTTATTTAGGACACTGAGGTTCAAACCCCTGCATATGCATTACCAGTGCTGGGATGTGGGGCTGGCTGGCCAATTTGTGGACATCTGCGAGCAGCCAAGGGACTTGCTCCCTGCTCTTGATCCAGAGTTGGAGGAGTCAGAGCAGGTCCTGAGGACCTGCCTGCTTCTAGCCTGTAGTCCCTCGCGCTAGAGCCTAGTCCGGGTGTCTCGGAGAAGCATCCTCTATTGCCCCAGTGAATGAGATCCAGCTTCAGGCTAGTGATCCTGAAAAGGAGGGCAGGTGATATCTTTAAGCAGGTCCTGATGTGTATGTGGGGCACTACTGAACTCTGGGTTGAGCTGGTGTCTGCTCTGAGCACTGACACCTTCCATAAGGGTTTTGGGGATGGAGCTGGGAGTGGGGATGGAAAGAAAATAGATACCATTTTGTCAGAGCATCCAGCTCAGGGAGTGCAGACAGGACAACAGGGTCCAGAGCTTGCCTATAAGGACAGCCCCTGGGCTAGAGTGCATCCTTGGAGAAAGGGTGGGTCTAGAGCATGGCCTGAAGAGCCAAAACAAGAGTATGCTCTTTCAGCTTTCTAGATGTAGATAGAGCAACCTGCACGCCTAGAGCAGAGGTGTCAAACATACGACCTGCAGGCTGGATTTGGCCTGCAGAGCCTTTCTCTCCAGCCTGCTGGGCTACCAGAGGGCACCAGAATTTGGGCCCTTTGGCCCCATAGGTCATGACCATCAGCAGCGAACTTGGCTTGCCCCCACTGCCACCAGACCTCGCACCACTCCTGCTCCTGCTATAACTTGCTCTAGCCCCTGGGCCCCTGCCATCACCACCCTTGCCACTGCAGCAGCCCTCATGCCCCAGGCGGGATCCAGCCCCATCGTCCAGATCTGGCCGGGGGCCCTGGTGAATTTGACACCCCTGCTCTAGAGGAAGCCATGCAGCAGCTGCATGCCACCGATGCAGAGCGAGGCAGCAACTTCCACACGTAAGGGCAGCTAGCGATACAGAATGAGACGTTTCCCCCCGCTCTCCCGGAGCTGCGAGCGAAGCCCCGGCGCGGTGTGAGCTGGTGGATGCTCAGTTGAAGCCTGCGTTAATGATTCCAGATGTTTAGTTGAACACTTTCATTTGATGGAGCAGTTTAAGGAGGGTAATAAAGAGCGTAACTAGGTTCATAATATTTCAGCAGCACTTTACGGAACAGCCGCGCTGCGATCCGTGTGCTGCTGACGGCTTGTGGGGCCCTAACAAGCCAATTAGGCACCGTTTTAGCATATGGTTTTAAAGCGACTGTTCTTCCCAATCCTCAGCACTCCCTAAGGCTCCTGGAACACCTATGGTAACAGAGACCACTGCAACAAGCATCACCATCACGTGGGACTCCGGGAACCCCGATCCCGTGTCCTACTACGTCATCGAGTACAAGTCTAAGAGCCAGGACGGCCCTTACCAGATCAAAGAGGATATCACCACCACCCGCTACAGCATCGGGGGACTCAGCCCCAACTCGGAGTATGAGATCTGGGTGTCGGCCGTCAACAGCATTGGGCAGGGGCCTCCCAGTGAGTCTGTGGTGACCCGCACTGGGGAGCAGGCGCCGGCTAGCGCTCCTCGCAACGTCCAGGGACGCATGCTGAGCAGCAACACCATGATCATCCAGTGGGAAGAGCCAGTGGAGCCCAACGGGCAGATCCGTGGCTACCGGGTGTATTACACCATGGAGCCGGACCAGCCCGTCAGCAACTGGCAGAAGCACAACATGGACGACAGCCTCTTGACCACAGTGGGCAGCCTCCTGGAGGACGAAACCTACACCGTCCGGGTCCTGGCCTTCACGTCCGTGGGAGATGGGCCTCTCTCTGACCCCATCCAGGTTAAAACACAGCAAGGAGGTGAGTTCAGACCCCGCATAGGCGCAGACGCACCGGGCTGCGATAGATGCTTCCTGGAGGGAGGGGTGGCTAGCTGACTCGCCGTGTAGCGAGGCTGTTATGCCCGTGGCTCTCCCCAGAGCATCTCCCTTTTGCAGGACATCTATGGTTTGAATAGCAGCAACTGTGCAGGGAGGACAGTCTTATGTAGTGGTTGGAGCAGAGGACCTGGGCATGAGGACTCCTGAGTCCTGTCTAGTAGGCAAGTAGAAGACAGGAGTCTGTTTTCTCCTTGACCGTGGTGCCTCTGTGTCTTGGTTTCTCCACCTCTAAGGCTGTGGTGAAGCTTAGGTGGCATCCCCCAAACACGCTGCGATCCGGAGAGCTGTAGGGGTGTGGAGCCTTATTTTGTCTGCCTCTTGGCCAGGGTAAAAAAAACCTGCTCTGGTGGACGCCTGGTAGTGGTTTTAGGCCAAGTGGGAATTGGGTTTCCCCATCTGCGAGATGCTGGCCAGAATGCCCTTTCCTATGTAGGGCACTGGATGAAAGGAAGGGTTTGTTCTTCCCTTCCTGCAATGGATCATTTTTCCTCCCCTTGTAATTGGGAGCTTGCTTCCAGGCTTGAATCCACAGGCCTTTGTATAGTGGAGAAGGGAATTTGCTCTCCCAACAAGAGGGTCTTAGCTCTGTCCCGGTCACGTGGGGGTGGAGAACTCTAGCTCTTGGCAGGGGGGCCTAATGGAAAGAGATGTGTCCTGCCCCGGGGCTGGCGGACATCTTTGGTCTGCAAGTCCTCTAGACCAGCCACTCTCATGGCCCTGCTGGGTGAATAAAGACCTTCCGTCCCTCGTGGATTAGGACTTTGCACCCCAGCAGTCTCCCGCGGACACACCTTGAAGGAGAGGCGGGGATCTTTTAAAGGACCAAGTCAACCAGGTCCCCATCTATCTCCCTTCTCCTCCTCTGCCCTCTCCTTCCCCGCCCTGCGGGTGCCTCTTCTGCCGGCCTCAGTTCCTGGGCAGCCGATGAATTTCCGAGCAGAAGCTAAGACCGAGACCAGCATCCTGCTCTCGTGGAGCCCTCCCCGTCAGGAGATCATAGTGAAGTATGACCTCCTCTTCCGGGAAGGAGACCACAGCAGGGAGGTAAGTCTTGAGAGGACCTCGTGCGGTGCCGGACGACCCCCGTGCCTCGTTACCCCTGGGATATCAATGGCCCTCTGTCCGCGGAGGGACTGCAGGAGAGCTGGGGGAAGCAGAGCGCTTTTATTTCGGGGCGTCTCTGCTGCTGCTGCTCCTCGTTTCTTGGTTTTATTTCCTCTTCCCCCTTGCCCACATCCAGGTGTCGAGGACCTTCGATCCCGCAACCTCATTCATGGTGGAAAACCTGAAGCCCAACACTGAGTATGTCTTCCGGCTGGCTGCCCGCTCAGATCTGGGCCTGGGGGCCTTCACCCCGGAGGTCCGGGAGCGCACCCTGCAGTCTAGTAGGTGTCTCTCCTTTCCCACCCTTCTCTGACGGGAAGACAGTCAGGGAGCCAGAGATGGTGGGCGCAGGGGTATGGACCTGGGGGTCCGCGAGCTATACGTGGCACCGTCCCCTCAGCAGAGGATGAAGCATCTAGGGTTACTTGTGGGGAAGAGAGGGCGAGTTGGAGGACCCCCGTTTCTCGGAGGGTGCAAGTTAGCACCGTGCGGTTGAGAGCAGGAGACGTGAGCAGCTCGCCGGAGCGAGCTGAGCACGTCCCATGGGCCCTTGACGCTGAACATGCTCAGTGAGGATGGCTTCCCACCACCCCCCATGAGGCTATCTATGGTCTGGTTCATTAACAAGAAGGAGCTCACGGCTCGGGGTCGGGGCTGGGGGGGCAGAGGGATGCGGCTTGCTTTGAAAGCGCTCTCAGCAAGAGGTTTGCGAGTGGCAGGGCAGGGGAGAAAAGGCGGCGATTAATAAAACCAACGTTGTCGTCGGTCTCAGGGAAAGCAGCCCCCACCTCATTGCTCATAAACGACTTCACAGCCCGCGGGAACACGGCCTGCTCTCTGGAGCCAGTGCCGGAGATGGGCCATGTCATGCTTGAAGGGGGGGTTGCTAACGACACCGGGGCAGAGTGTACGTCACCAAAACGTGCTGGTTTTAGTTTAATGGATTGTCTCCCTTCACTGTTGCCCTGGGGATGGCCAACCCTGGACGGCAATATTTCAACCTGGGCTTTTCACAGATCTTTGCTTTTAAACGAGGTGTTTTTTTTTCACTGCATGAGTGGCTGTGGCAGCTGTTCTTTGTGTTTTCTGTCTCCTCTCATCTCTACTAAATCACTCGGCCGCAGTTAGGAGTTAGCCGCGAGCAAAACTAACTCAGAAATGGCTCTGGTCAGCGTGAGGAGAGAGAGCGAGAGAGCGCGCTCCTATCTCTCCGAGTCCTTAACAAGCGGGAGTTGCAGCCTGACGGCTGGGCGGCCTGCCTTGCCTTCCTGTGCCGAGTGTTGCTTCCTTCCCCCTCTCCTGCAAATGGGAAGAAAAGGAGCATCTGGGTCTCTGCCTCCACACAAAATTTCTCACTGGGGCTTGCTCGGGGCTCCAGGCCATTCAGAGATGATTTCCATTACTCCATCAAATGTTTTAAACTATAGACAACCTATAACCCCCTCCAAAAAAAAAACCCAACAACAACCCAACTTTTCTTGAATTTGCAACCCTGCTGGTTGTGGCTCTGACCAAGGTTGACACCATTAGAGGGAGTCAGCACTGAGAAATAATGAGTGAATGGTAAAAAGATAGGCATTGAAACTTTTCCTGACTCGTCTTTGGTTTTGCAAGAGCTTCTGGGAGCTGTGGGGAGGGATGGAGAGGGGAGAAGTTTTCAAACCTCTGCTCTCTGGTTGGGTACATGCAGGTTGGCGGGGGGGCACTGGCTCTAGGGGTTAGGAGGTTTCCCCTAAAGGGTGACAAGGAGAGAGCATGGGGGAGGCGGGAATGGTTTTTATCCTGGCGCAAGCCCAGAACGAGGCCTAATTCGATTCTGTGTCGTTTGGCTGCGTAGGCCCAGTTGTTAGCGACATGAATTTAATGCTCTTAAGAACCTCAGCTGGGAGCTGTCCGTATTTTGTAATGTGGTGAAACATTTTTTCCTGGCTGGCTGCTGGAGGAACGAGTCAAGTCTCCCCATCCGGGCGGCACTCTTCGGCTCGCAGATCTTCTGGCTCGGGACAGGCTTTTGTGTCTTCCTTCTGCAGCCCCTTTTCTGTTCAGC